GGGATCCAGAGAAAACGCCGTTATTTTATGAAATAATTTCGAAAATGCCACTGCTGCCGCAAGTGGCGTCCTCTCTACGGCCGTACTTTCGCCCATCTGAAGTCAGAAAACCCTAAACCCCTCTGAACTGAACTCTGCATCTCCCGCGATATCGCTCTTCAATGTCGACTCTTTATCTCTTGACCCGATCCCGGATCTCGCTTCTCAAAGCCATAAACCCCAATCATGGATCGAATCTTCCAATCAGGTCCATCTCCGCAACCCCGTTTCTCTCGCAGGAGCCCCAGCTCGCCGCCGAGTCGGCTGAACCCGAGGCGTCTCCTCCGCGGGAGAGCTCGACGCCGCTTCCCCCGAATCCGTCGACCGGAAACCCTCTCTACCAGGAGAACTGGCGGAATCCGATCCCGGGTTCTGAGTCACTGACTCAGTCTCTGGTCCCTTTGGGATTTCTGGGCCAGAGCCCTGCTTCTCGTATCCGATCCCTGGCCGAGACCCTTGACATGAACTCTCTGCTGAATCTGTTCGCCGATTGGACCGCGTCGCAAAGGTGGTCCGACATGAAGCAGCTGTTCGAGTGCTGGGTTCGGACCCTCGACCAAAGTGGGAAGCTGAACATGCCCGACGTGAACCTTTACAATCAATACCTCAGGGCCAATTTGATGATGGGTGCTTCGGCTGGAGACTTGCTCGATTTGGTTGCCCAAATGGACAATTTTAAGAGCACACCCAACACGGCGTCTTTCAATCTGGTGTTGAAGGCTATGCACCTAGCCCGCGAGACTGAGGCTGCTCAGAAGCTGCTCGAACGGTTAGCTCTATAACACTGTTTCGTCTCACATTGTCGCAAAACTATGCTTTGTCGGCATGAACTATCTTGTAACTGAATTGCCTTACATTCATGTTCAGGGAAGTTGTTTTGGTCGAATGCCCATCTCATCTCTCTATATGAATATGGCAAATCTTTTGTGCATGTTAAGTTAATGATCGAGCCCGTCAAGTAAATTCTTAGAGCTAGTGTAGATGATTAGAAGTTTACCTTTTTTCGGGTATTATTACTCATTTCCTTATATGATCTCTTAGGGTTATTGTTAGATGGCGATCTTGCAATGTTGTAACTGACGAACTTGCAATGGATCATGACTCATTGTATTTATTATCAGGATGCTGCTGACAGGGAAGGAATCTTTGCCAGATGATGAATCTTATGACTTGGTTGTTTCAATGCTGTTTTCGACGGATCAGATTGATGCTGCCTTGAAATATTTGGAAATGGCATTAAAGTCTGGTTATATGTTATCCATGACGGTGTTTGGTGATTGTGTCCGTAGTTGTGCAGCCAAAGGCAGGACAGAGACACTGGTGTCGGTCATTGAGAAATGCAAGGCAAACAAAAAAAAAACAAATTTTTTTATTGGTTTCGGTTATATATAAGCATCTTCTCTCATTTATTTGACATTCATTTGTTGGTCTTCTCAGGCTATTGGTCAGAACAAGTCCTTATGCCCTAATTGGACTCTTTGCAACTATATAGCCGAAGCTGCAATTCAAGACGACAACAGCAAATTGGCATTCTATGGATTAGAATTTATGTTCAAGTGGATAGCGAGGGGCGAAATGTTAAGACCTTCGGTTTTGCTTTCTGTAGATGAAGGATTGATTGTATCGTTGCTCGCTACCGCAGCTAGGACTTGCAGCTCAACTTTGTTGGATGCATCATGGACCGTTTTACAAAAGTCTCTTCGCGATAAAATGATACCCAATCCCGAAACTTACCTTGCAAAGGTTAATGCTCATGCATCATTGGGGAATCTACAGAAGGCATTTGCTACGCTTAGAGAATTCGAGTCTGCATATGCAAACTCTGACAAAGAAGTTGTAGAGGAAATGTTTTCGCCTTTTACATCTCTACACCCGTTGGTGGTGGCGTGTTCTAAGAAAGGTTTCGAGACCCTGGATGCGGTATGTCTCAACAGCTCAATGTTATGCATAGTCTCTTTTTATTCGAACTAAAATCTGGAAACTCTGACCGTTGATGGTAATGGTTGTTGACTGTTTCGAAAAGATCTAATTTATCGAAACAGAACATCATGGTCTGTTGTTGATTTATACTGGAGTTGACATCTAGCTTCGAAATAGTTTAGGTTATGCATTATATAATGACATGTAGCTTACCGGAACTTGCGATGTTCCACAGGTGTACTTTCAGCTAGAGAATCTTAGCCGAGCAGATCCTCCGTACAAGTCCGTTGCTGCTCTGAACTGTATAATCCTCGGTTGTGCAAACACGTGGGATCTAGATCGTGCTTATCAGACGTTTGAGGCAATAAGTGGTTCTTTTGGATTGACACCTAATATCCATTCATACAATGCTTTGCTCTGTGCCTTCGGCAAACTCAAGAAGGTTTCCAATTTCTGTGCCTTACATTATCCGTTCTGTCATGTCTGTTTTTATGTGCCATGACGTGTTTTGTCTGATAAACTTCAGCTTTCTACGTTTTGCAGACTTTCGAGGCTACGAGGGTTTTTGATCATCTTGTTAGCATAGGCGTAAAACCTGATACTCGGACTTATTCATTTCTGGTTGATGCTCATCTCATCAACCGGGATCCCAAATCAGCTCTGTCTGTCATTGATGATATGGTAACCGTAATCGAAAACAATGGTGACCCTTGAAAATACCATATTTCCAATCTGATATTTTCCGATCCAATCAATCTGCAGGTGAACGCTGGATTTGAACCCTCCAAGGAAACGTTGAAAAAGGTAAGAAGGCGATGCACCCGGGAGATGGCCTATGAAACCGATGATAGAGTGGAGACATTGGTCAAGAATTTCAAGATCAGGATGGGAACCGAGAATCGCAGGAACATGCTGTTCAACCTCGATTACTCGACGGGCTTCCAGTCATAGAAACAACTTCCTGGATAATAATCGCTTTGTAAAACCCTACGGCTTCCAGTCTTATGCGTCGAAACCATATCAGAGGAAAGTATTGTGACAAATCTCCTAATGCAGGTTCGTTTCTTGTGCGGAGTGAGAAGTTGAATACACAACGTTAATGGAGTCTCCGAGCTCAGGGAGTGTTTGAAGTTGCCAGTCGCAGTGAATGTCGCGCCGCTGTACATTAAATTGAATCTTTTCCATTTTTGAGAAATTCGCTTTTTGTATTGGAGTTTCTTTATATTTTGCAAGATCTAACTTATACAAAGGTTGATTTTATTTTTTTAATGAAACTTTGGAACAAAGTGTGGGTCTTTTTATTTCATTTTTTGATGGTAAAAACATGAAAAGTAAAAAAGTCATGTAAGAACAATCAAAACCGGTCATGCTCTGTGCCGGCAAAGCCTCGATCAAGAACGAGGAAGAGTGTTACGATCATTGACCGGGGCAACGTTCATCGCCCATTCCGGCTTGCCATCTTCAAGAAATGCGGAATCCACATTCCCGTGTCGAGCATTCATATCCATCACATTCCAAATCATGTGAAAGGGAGGTAGAGGATCAATGGGGTACGTAGAGACCAATAGTGCTTCAGGGCAGATTTCCGTGCTTGCCTATCTTCATGGCATTGGTTACAACTTACAATGGTTAGCAGTGATTCTTGTAACCGAGAAATCTGAGTCAATACATGACTCTAGAGGGTGGTAGTAGGATACTGTCTCTTGCACATCTCGGCAAGGGGACACAGAATCCTTCTTCCTACACCGAGAAAGAACAAGAAAAGCTTGAGAAGTATGTGTATGTATATATACCTGAAAAGCCAACCATGCCAAGACAAATAGCTTCGAGGATCTGTAGTTTCCTGCCAAATGAATGTCCTGTCCTGATGGGTTACAAGCTTCCATTTGGAGTGGTCAGAGGCAAAGAAGCCTCCTGGTCTGAGGACACGATCAACTTCCGAGAGGAGCTTCCCAACTGTTTGACAAAAGACATCAACCAAAATGCCGAGAGAGCGCTATGAATCTCATGATCAGTTCAAAGAAACTTAACCCTTTTGGTCCCAAACAATCCCACGTTATGCACAATGAACCATGCCAAAACACAAAGATGGGAACGAGAGTTTCCCGGAGATGAAATTTCCGATCATTGCATAAGGCTAATTGGAGTTGACTACCAATAGCCTCGTATGCCGCTATAGTATTTTCTGATAACCACCTTTCATTTATTTTTGGGTAAAATCCCTAAAAAAACCTTTAACTTGTAAAAAAATATATAAATAAACCTTCAACTTGTAAATTTGTCATTCAAACCCCAAACTTACAATATGTAACTGAATAAAACCTCGAACTTATAAATTATTGCTCTAATAACCCGTTGACTTATTTGACCACAATTTCAGGCAATCAGAAATCCACGTTGGTCCAGAAAACTGATGTCAGCGTGTCCACGTAACCAACTTTAAATAAAATTTTGCCACATCAGTATTTTTTGGATCGAAATATAATCCGATTTGAGAGTAAATAAAGCCGATTTTTCAGACCAACGTAACAGAACATAATCAGATTGAAGATTTATTCAGTTAACATTGGTTATGTAGACACGCTGATATCAGTTTTTCGGGCCAACGTGGATTTTCGATCGCCTGAAATCGTGACCAAACAAGTCAACGGGTTATTAGAGTAACAATTTACAAATTCGAGATTTTATTCAGTTACATATTGTAAGTTTGGGGTTTGAATGACAGTTTTGAAAGTTTGAAAATTTATTTGTATATTTTTTTTTTATAAGTTTGAAGTTTTTTTTTTGGGGTTTTAGCCTTTATTTTTCCTTCAAATGAAACAATTATTAAGGAAATGCTAAGGTGACAGCTTGCTGTAATCTATTCCTTGACAGACGTTGTCCCCTCTGTTATCTTCCAAAGCGGACAAAAAAAAAAGATACCCATAAACTCATTTGATTCGACAAATCAAATGTATTTGTGTAAGAAAAAAAAACAATTTCCAAAATTTTGATCTCCCTTTGTAGCAGAAGGTTTCAATACCATATCAGGATTGGGGTTTGCTTCTATTACAAGTTAGGGTTTTTCCTTCAGGGACAAGTGGGTCTGCATTCTCTCAATCCATTTGTAAGAACCTCTTCATCAAGGTTGTGTCCTGTATACACCAAAGCAAGAACGAACAAGAACATATGAATGAATAACTGAAACACAGAGATAAACGATAATGTTAATAGGATGCAAAGGAAAAATGACCTATGAATACAATTTTGTTCGTTCGATTCTCCTCCTCGCCCCATTTTCGGGCTGGAACTATCTCGTATATCTCTCTGACAGCCTGTAAGATACTCAAGAACATAGAACCGGTTTGAGTAGGAACCAGACCTAATCCGATAGTTCATTTTTACTGCGAAACACGATTACGTACCTGCAATGTATGCATCTGGTCTGAGTGGTTGATGCTTAACACCCCCTTGCAGCGATACACATCCATCTCGTGATTTTTATCCCAAAGAATTTCCTCTAGCCATAAACGGACCTGTGAATCAAGAACCAGCCATCTAAGGAAGATCACTATTTAACTACTCGTTGCTGGAATGAAGCATGAATTTTTCTTACCTTGTCGAGGTTTACAGCTTGTGGTTCAGAGATGCATATTGTCCTCACTCCGCTATCATGAATGTCTCTGGCAGACAATGACTTGTTTTCTTCTAGCAGGGATTCAAGGCGACTAACATGCTGAGACCCGAAAGAAAAGCTCAGATGTTAAATGTTATAACATAAATATAGGCACTGAACCAGAATATGTATAGTGTGTGGATCATATTTAAGAGTTCTGAAACTGACGGTTGGATCATATGCCTTGCGGTTTAATATGTTGGACAAATCGACCTGGCACCTGACGGAACGGATGACATTGGCTAGTGAGTTAATCGTCCGGATTTCTTTCACCAATTCATCGGATTCCTCTTGAGAAACCAAGTCAACCTTGTTGAGAATGATTGTGTCCTGAAAAACAAACCACGAGCCAGGCCACGACAAGAAAAGTGATGCTGGTCAGAGAAGAAAAAGAGTCGGTGGTATTCTTGATGGTTATGATAAGTGGGATGATTACTGCAAATGCTATTTGATGAAAAGCCTCGGGAAAGGAGGATGAGTCACGACG